TGTCGTACCTGGCCGTTTGGTGGGGGGCCAGCTTCAACGGCGTCTCGAGATTCTCACCGAAGCCCTAGGGATTATATCCGTCTGTAGGGCCTCTTCCGAACCAGATTGGTTGGTACGGTTTGCCAAGGGCTAGGCTCACTGGCCTGCCTTGGACGGACCGAGGCGGGAGCGAGGGGCAGCTGGCTGGCACTGAGATGTGATGCAGTCCCCCTGCGTGGGGCCGCGCGAAGGGGGAACAGCTGGATCGGGCGTGAGGGAAGAAGCAAGATGGAGTCGAGGAGAGGCGGTCACTCCGTTTCCCGCCACGCCCTAGGGAAGAGCGCAGAGCGAACAGGGTAGAGTAGAGAGCTCTGTTGACGGTGGGAGGGGGTGGACCGTGGGTGTGTTGTGATGTGAAAGATCCACCACACAACTGCTGGGGAGAGACTGACCCTCCATCACAACACAACTTGTTTGACCCTCCAACCTACTGCTCACTCTAGTCTAGGTCTGCTGTAACGGCTACTATATTATCCTCATGTTGTCAACTCACGTGCTGTAACGGCTACTATATTATCCTCGTGTTGTCAACTCACGTTCTTTCCACTCCTCCCTCCACAAGCGTTCATGCCGCTTAGCTGCGTATAGAATCCAAAGACATTCACTCACTGGAAGTTTGGAACCTCGTCTCGCTGCCATTTGTTTAACGACACTCCTGTTCCACCTCACACATCACTATAGTTCTCGCATCATGCTCGTTAGTAGAGATGGCGGGGAAACGCACGGATCTACGTCAGCTGCTGTTGCTGAGGCAAACACGGCGACGCTCGCAACGGCTCAGCCCACAGGCCCTTCCACGTCAGCATCCCCGATAGTGACTGTTTCGGCTCCAGGTTCAGCACCTAGTGATTCCAGCCTCAAACCAGGATTGAAGTCTAACCATGTGGCGTCATCATCCAGTCAACTGACGTCATCGGCAACACCACGAACCAATTCTCACCATCAGAGCCTTCGGCACTGCCAGCAACATGGAGCAGCGTCGTCGCATCCTAGCCATCCATCCACACAATTGCCTCCGCATCGACGGCTAGGAAGGATTGCGCGTAGTTTATCGTCTAAGGTCGACGGAGGTGCCATGATTGGGTCGATGCTTCGAGCTGCGATGGCGGGAATCTCGCTCAAGCGGGTGTTCTACGCTGTCCTCGTTATGGGATTCATCGTTCTAGGGCTTCTCGCTATCAACGTCGAACAGGTAAGGCTCCTTAAATCGAGGGCCTAGGTAGTGGAATGCCACGCCGTTGAGCCCTTTCGTTTCCCGTTTAGGGATAATCAAGAACATCATAGTGACGGGTAGTTAGCAATAAAAGGAATTCGTAATTAGCCGTTGAAGGGATTATAGTCCGCCATTGGAGGATTATACGCCATGATTCAGCACTGCACACTAAAGGATGAAAGACTCAAGGCATCCTCTCTCCTCTTTGCCGTTCGTCCCCTCCCTTCCACCCTCCCCCCACCCACCCCACTCCCCAGTTGCTCAAGAACTTCCTCCTCTGGCTAAAAAATGATGTCGGCGTGTGGGGTCCAGTTATCATGTACGTGGCGTTTCTTCCCTGTGGTTTTCCCTTCGTAGCTTTTTCCCTTTGTATGTAGTTTACCCGTCGTTTCCTGCTGGTGCATTCTGTATGTGAGTTGCTTCCTGTTGCGGCCTCAGCCACTGATCAAGCTCTCCCCTCTCCTTCCCCACACCCTCACTCTTTCCCTCGCTCTCAGGGCCCTCGCATACATCCCACTCAATATTCTCGCCCTTCCAGGCGCCATCCTCACTGTAAGCAGTTGCCATACGCGAAACAAGGAAAACCTCTGACGGAAAAAGAAAGTAGAAGCAAACATACAAATTCGAAATCTGCATCCTGAACGAGTCCCCTGCGGTGCTTGTCCCTTCGTTCGTCCTTGTGTCAGTTGGGGGGCGGCTACGTGTTCGGGCTGCTGGTGGGCTTCATCGCAGATTCGCTCGGCTCCACTGCTGGCGCCACCGCTGCTTTCCTCGTTGGCAAAACGGTGCGTCGCCTTGCTGCAGGCGCGGCATTGCCTTTGCTCCTACAAACCCGCTCTTGCCTCCACATCCCACCCTCTTGTTTCCTTGCATGTTGCGCTTGGCGTTTAACACTGATTCCACACCCTATCGCCACACCTAGTTTCATGGACCAGCGGACCCGCCCACAGCCTCTCAGCCTTGTCCCTGCTCCCCTCTCATGTCCTGCACCTCCCATCCCCTGCACCTCCCATCCCCTGCACCTCCCATCCTCCGCACCTCCCATCCCCCTCACCCCCCCATGTGGTGTACGTGTCGGCGAAGCTCAAGGAGTACCCGCAGGCGCAGCTCCAGCCAGTCGCTCATGTTCCCTCCCTCCTCCACATGTCCTGCACCTCCCACCCCTCCCCCTGTCCCCCCTCACTTACTGCAGATCGGGCGCTCGTATGTTTCAGCGAAGCCCAAGGAGTACCCGCAGTGTCGCTCATGTTCCCCCCCTCCTCCTCCCCATGTCCTGCACCTCCCACCCCTCCCACTGCCCCCCCTCACTTACTGCAGATTGGGCGCTCGTATGTGTCAGCGAAGCTCAAGGAGTACCCGCAGTTCCAGCCAGTGGCGCATGCCATCGCCAAATCCGGATTCAAGGTGAGATCCCATTCTAAGGTGAGGTAAAAAAGTACCAGCACTGCACTCCTAGCCAGTCACCCACGCCATCGCCAAACCCTGATTCAAGGTGAGATGCCACCCTGTACCTCTTTACTACTGCCTGCATTTCTCCCTCCTCCCCCTCTTCCCCCCTTCGCCCCCTCTTTCCGCCCCCTCCAACCACCCCCCCCCCCAACCCCCTACTTCTCTCTCGCTAGACGCCTGAGTCTCCCAGCCTCCTCTCCCTCCCATACTGCTCTCCTGGCCTTCACCTGGTGCTCCCTCCCCTCCCCTCCCTCTTTCCTCCTCCCACCCCACCCTCACCAGAGAGTGCTGCTGCTGTGCCTGCTGCCCATCCTGCCCTTCAGCGTGATGAACTGCGTGTGCTCTCAGTGACGCCCATCATGATCAAGCTCTGTCTCCCCCCTCGCCCCCTCACTCCCACCTCCCCTCTCCCCCCTCCCCGCTCCCGCACTGAGCAGATCGTGCTGCTGCTGCGGCTGGTGCCCATCCTGCCGTTCAACGTGATGAACTACGTGCTCTCAGTGACGCCCATCAGCCTCTCTTCTTACGTCCTCGCCTCCTGGATCGGCATGATGGTCAGTGGGGAGTCAAGGCAGGATGGGCGGTGGGGGGGCGCATGGGGTTTTGATGGTCAGCGGGGGGGCATGATGGTCAGCGGGGGGGCATGATGGTCAGCGGGGGGGCATGATGGTCAGCGGGGGGGCATGATGGTCAGCGGGGGGGCATGATGGTCAGCGGGGGGGCATGATGGTCAGCGGGGGGGCATGATGGTCAGCGGGGGGGCATGATGGTCAGCGGGGGGGCAAGATGGTCAGCGGGGGGGCAAGATGGTCAGCGGGGGGGCAAGATGGTCAGCGGGGGGGCATGATGGTCAGCGGGGGGGCATGATGGTCAGCGGGGGGGCATGATGGTCAGCGGGGGGGCATGATGGTCAGCGGGGGGGCATGATGGTCAGCGGGGGGGCATGATGGTCAGCGGGGGGGCAAGATGGTCAGCGGGGGGGCAAGATGGTCATGACTAGAAGAAATATTCTCTCCTGCTTTCACACCCTCTATCCACGTGCAGCCCACCAGGTTCACCTTTGTACACATGGGCACGACCTAAAATACATATTCTCCTTTTTGCTTCTCCTCTCCCCCCCCTTTTCCTCTCTCCTCCTCCTCATGTGCGCATGTGCAGCCCACCACGTTCACCTTCGTGTACCTGGGCACCACCATCAAGGACATCTCAGAAATCGGCTCCCCAGGAGCTGCTGGGGCGTCGCAGTGGGTGAGCGGAGCTGCTCATGTGTGAGGGTGCTTTCGTACTGGGGTTGTTGTACCGGGGTTGTTGTACAGGAGGTGGTGAAGCACAAAGGGTGTTTTGTTACATGAGGTGCCTGCGTCTAGTCAATTCATGCCGCACACGGCAACGTATAAGTCCGCTCCCTTAGCCCCAATAATCCTGTCTCACTCCTCGTCTCTCCTTTCTTCTCTTCTTGTGCTGTCACTTGGCCTTCCTGCAGTGGATGCTGGGAATTGGCCTTGCTGTTACAGTGGTGGCGACTGTTCTTATAACGAGGGTGGCCAAGGACGCACTGCAGAAGGCGATAGAGGAGAACGAGCAGCAGCGCAGCCTGCTGTCCCCCACCTTCCTCTCCTCCACCCCGTCCTCCCTCACTCCCCGCACCGACATTCACCTTTCCCCCTCTCCGCATTCAATCGAAGCTTGCTCTAGCAGTAGCAGCAGCAGCAGCAGCAGCAGCGGCAGTGGGAGCAGCAGCAGCACTAACAGCAGCAGCAGCAGCAGCAGCAGCAGCAGCAGCACGGGCCTGGAGAACAGATCTGCCATTCTCACCATCCCTGATGGTATCTACTCCCACCAGGGGCCCCTGCTCACAGCGCACACACCATCCTTGCAATACGCTGGTGATGCAGTGTCTTTTCCCCCTCATAAAGCACCTGACAATGCGCCTGATAGTAGCTGGGACATTGGGTCAGGGGCGTGCTGCGTGGGCGTGGACGAGCTGTCTAGACCAGCGGCAGATGGGGCAAAGAGACAAGCAATTCTTCCAAGCTGCTATGCTGCATGAGTTGTGGACGCCGTTACCGAATGAATCAAGTCAAAGGCATACTGCTGGATGCACAGCAGTGCCATTTGCAGCAATATCCAGTGCCTGCTGCTTTCTGAGGGCTGCTGCTGCTACTGCTGCTATGGCATCTACCTAATATACAGGCGGTCTTTTTGGGAAGCACTGCCATCTTTCAGCCTATGTTGCATTTTTTGTTCAACCAGCCGATTGTCTTTTGTATAGTTAACTTTCAATATATTGCAGACTTTCAATACATTGCAATATGTACTGCATGTAGTTCGCAACACTCATTTCTTCCAGTAACATGCACAACCATGACTGGTTGTAAAGTGGTAGATAACTATCCAGGCTAGGCAGCGTAGGGTCTGGGCTGGGATCCTGACCACTCTGCTTCCATAACAGACACCAGCACCTTACCCGCCCCAGCAGCTGCTGCACACTGATGAAGCTGTTAGCCGTACTGCCCCCTCTCACATGCGTCAGTGCTTCCCTCCCCATGTTACCTCCCTACAGCGCCTGCAGCTGCTGCACACTGATGAAGCTGTTAGCCGTACTGTCCCCTCTCATGTGCGTCAGAGTCAGTGCCCCCCTCCCAATCTCTCCTCTCTACCGCACCTGCAGCTGCCCCACATTAACAAAGCCTTTAGCCGTACTATCCCCTCGTGCGAGCCTCATGCCCACGCTCCTCCCACCCGCCAACCCAACACCTGTCTTTCCACCCTGCACCCACTGCTTCCGTCTCTCCTCCCTCTATCTCCTCCCCATCTCTCCGCCCTACCGCGCCTGCAGCTGGTCCACATTGATGAAGCTGTTATCCGTGTTGCTGTCCCGCCGTGCAAGCCTCATCACCACGCTCCTCCCATCCCCTCCCCCCTCCCCCTCTGCCTTCCCACCCCCCTCCCTGCCCGCCTCCCCTGGCTTGATATCCGCCTCACTCATCCCCAGAGCCGACGCCACCGATAGCATCAGCTTGGAGCGAGTGCTTGCAGTGGACACCCCGCTCTTGCCACTCACACCGCTCTGCACCCCACTGTTGAGCATCGAGCTCATAACCCCCGAAGAAGGCAGGCTGATCCCCGACGGAATGCCCGTGCTCGGCCCAGCCTGGCTGTTCAGCCCACCGCCCCCACCCCCCCACTGCCCAGCTCGTTCTCCCCCTCTTCCTCCACGGTGTATGACATCAGCAGGTGGTCCAGCCGCCGCACCACGTCGCGCATCTCGGGGCGCCGCGAGCCCGGCGCCTTGATGCAGTCGAGGGCCAAGTCCGCCCACTCCACTATGGCCTCCTCGGGGATGTCGAGCGCCTTGTCCCTCAGGTCGTCCAGGGTGTACTCTGCTACCATCTTGCTCGCCTGGTGGCGGTGGTGGGAAGGGGTAGCAAGGAAATGAGAGGGCGGAGTAAATTGCCCCCTTGCCTTGATGCAGTCGAGGGCCAGGTCCGCCCACTCCACTATGGCCTCCTCGGGGATGTCCAGCGCCGAGTTCCGCAGGTCGTCTAAAGCTTATTCTGCCACCATCTTGCCTGTGGGGCTGGAGGAGAGAAGGGAGGATGAGGGGGGGTGGCAGCATCAGAGGACACATGGAAGGGCGAGTTACGCAGCAACTAGCTCTGTCATGCAGTCCTTTGCTGATGTGTAATCTGCTGGGGATTGATGACACTTGATTCACAGCAATCTGCTGAGGTGTCGCTCACCCATTTGCCGATGTGAGAGCTGCCCCCCATGGTGACCTTGCGCGCTGTCAGCATTTCCAGCAGCACCACTCCGAAACTGACACGTGGCATGTGAGGGGGATGAGGGTGTGAAGAGGGATGAAATTGAGGAGTTAGGCATTGAAGCGTGAGGTTGGATATTGGAACATATTGAAAGGATGTATCTGGACATGACACATGGGGCATGAGGGATGAGGCATGGCGTATGGGGCATGAGGCATGAAGCATGGCGCATGGGGCATGAAGCATGGCGCATGGGGCATGAGGCATGAGGCATGGGGCACGGAACATGCAAGGTGAGGGGGAAGAGGCGCACGGTGGAATTGTGCGTGAAAACATCACATCCCACCAATGAAAACAATAACATACCATCTCACCTCTAAACATCACTCTTAGCGGCGCACCTGTAAACATCACTCTTAGTGGTGACCATCTGGGTGCGGTTGTAGTCGGGGTCCACATAGCCGGGCGTGCCTGCTACCTTGGTGGCCGTCTCGTCGCCAAACTTGAGTGTCTTCAGCAGCCCGAAATCCGCGATCTTGGCCTGAAAGGGCGGGAGGGGCGGGAGGGGCGGGAGGGGCAGGAGGGGCAGGAGGGGCAGGAGGGGCAGGAGGAAGATTGAGGTCGATTGTAAGGCGCTCACATCGCTGTGTTTGAGCGTCTTCAGCTGCCCAGAATCCGCTGTCTCGGCCTGACAGGACCGGATGAGAGAGATGCGCAAGATGAGAGAGACGCGCAAGATGAGAGAGACGCGCAAGATGAGAGAGACGCGCAAGATGAGAGAGATGCACAAGATGAGAGAGATGTGCAAGATGAGAGAGATGCGCAAGATGAGAGAGACGCGCAAGATGAGAGAGATGCGCAAGATGAGAGAGATGCGCAAGATGAGAGAGATGCGCAAGATGAGAGAGATGCGCAAGATGAGAGAGATGCGCAAGATGAGAGAGACGCGCAAGATGAGAGAGATGCGCAAGATGAGAGAGACGCGCAAGATGAGAGAGATGCGCAAGATGAGAGAGATGCGCAAGATGAGAGAGATGCGCAAGATGCAGAACCAGCGAGAGAGAGGAGGACTTTGAGGTGCCCTTATCATCGCCGTGTTTGAACAACCCAAAGTTCGCGATCTTGGCTTGAAACAGGTGCAGGGAGGGAAGAACAAGGTGTGGAGTTTTTGTGACGAGGGCGCTGGCAAGTCTACTTCCCTCCGGCGCACAATGGGGTTGTCTGTGTTGTCCTCGCTGCATCACTCACACATCTCACAGTGAGGCTGTAATAGGGAGGCAAATGCCTGTGTCATGCTTGTGTCACGCTTGTGTCATGCTTGTGTCATGCCTGTGTCATGCCTGTGCCATGCCTGTGCCATGCCTGTTTCATGCTTGTGGCATGCTTGTGTCATGCTTCGTGTCGTGCTTGGGTTGAGGTGACTCACAGTGAGGTTGTCCCCCACGAGGATGTTGGCGGGTTTGATGTCGCGGTGAATGATGGGGTTGGCGAAGCCATGCAGGTACGCCAGCCCCTCAGCTGCCCCCAGTGCCAGCTTCAGACGCTGCCGCAGGGTCAGGGGGTCTGGGAGGATGGACAGGGACGGGGCAGTGGTGGGGAGAATCAGCGCTGAGACTAAAGGGAAGGGAAGGCAAGGGACAGGCTCACCCATTTGATTATGAATGTGGCTCATGGGCGGTGGGCGGTGGGCGGTGGGAGGTGGGCCATTGCCATTGGATGGGCTTTGGATCTTAGTTGCTACAAATGCGTTTGGAGTTTGAACGCTAGCATTTGAACGCTAAACGCTCGGCAGTGTGTATGTGAACGCTAGAAAAACGCTTGCCCGGGCAGGGGTAAAATTTTCACCTGGGCAGGGGTTAAAGATTCCTGTTGGGGAGGGGAGAAACATGGGGGTTCTACCAGGAAGCATTTTGTCTCATAAAAAAGTACCGTGCTTAACATTTGAGCCAGCATCCTCATATGCCATGTAAATCATCTATCCTTAAGGCCATTCTCCAACGACAATCTCATGGGGGGACAGCCCGGAAAAAATCCCAGTGAGCGTTTGCGTTTTTGGGTGCGTTTGCGTTGAAACGCAAGCGTTTGAACGCTAAACGCGTGTCTGCCAGAGCGTTTGTAGCAAGTAAAGCTTGGATGGGCTTGGATGGGTTTGTTTGGATGGGCTTGGATGGGGTTGGATGGGCCTGGATGGGTTTGGATGGGTTTGGATGGGCTTGGATGGGCTTGGATGGATTTGAATGGGCTTGGATGGGCTAAGATGGGCTTGTTTGGATGTGCTTGCTTGGATGGGCTTGGATGGGCTTGGATTGGCTTGAATGGGCTTGGATGGGCTTGGATGGGCTTGCTTGGATGGGCTTGGATGGGCTTGGATTGGCTTGTTTGGATGTGCTTGCTGGGTTGGCGGGTTGGCGTGTTGGCGGGATGGCGGGTTGGCGGGTTGGTTGGCGGGTTGGCGGGTTGGCGGGTTGGTTGGCGGGTTGGTTGGCAGCTTGGCGGGTTGGTTGACGGGTTGGCGGGTTGGTTGGCGGGTTGGCGGGTTGGCGGGCGGGTTGGCGGGCTGGCGGGCGGTTTGGTTGGCGGTTTGGTTGGCGGTTTGGTTGGCGGGTTGGTTGGCGGGTTGGTTGGTGGGTTGGTTGGCGGTTTGGTTGGCGGTTTGGTTGGCCGGTTGGTTGGCGGGTTGGTTGGCGGGTTGGTTGGCGGGTTGGTTGGCGGGTTGGTTGGCGGGTTGGTTGGCGGGTTGGTTGGCGGGTTGGTTGGCGGGTTGGTTGGCGGGTTGGTTGGCGGGTTGGTTGGCGGGTTGGTTGGCGGGTTGGTTGGCGGGTTGGTTGGCGGGTTGGTTGGCGGGTTGGTTGGCGGGTTGGTTGGCGGGTTGGTTGGCGGGTTGGTTGGCGGGTTGGTTGGCGGGTTGGTTGGCGGGTTGGTTGGCGGGTTGGTTGGCGGGTTGGTTGGCGGGTTGGTTGGCGGGTTGGTTGGCGGGTTGGTTGGCGGGTTGGTTGGCGGTTGGTTGGCGGGTTGGTTGGCGGGTTGGTTGGCGGGTTTGGTTGGCGGGTTGGTTGGCGGTTTGGTTGGCGGGTTGGTTGGCGGGTTGGTTGGCGGGTTGGTTGGCGGGTTGGTTGGCGGGTTGGTTGGCGGGTTGGTTGGCGGGTTGGCGGGTTGGTTGCGGGTTGGCGGGTTGGTTGCGGGTTGGCGGGTGGTTGGGTTGGCGGGTTGGGTTGGCGGGTGGTTGGCGGGTTGGCGGGTTGGCGGGTTGGCGGGGGGTTGGCGGGCTGGCGGGCGGTTTGGTTGGCGGGGTTGGCGGTTTGGTTGGCGGGTTGGTTGGCGGTTGGTTGGCGGTTGGTTGGCGGGTTGGTTGGCGGGTTTGGTTGGCGGGTTGGTTGGCGGGTTGGTTGGCGGGTTGGTTGGCGGGTTGGTTGGCGGGTTGGTTGGCGGGTTGGTTGGCGGGTTGGTTGGCGGGTTGGTTGGCGGGTTGGTTGGCGGGTTGGTTGGCGGGTTGGTTGGCGGGTTGGTTGGCGGGTTGGTTGGCGGGTTGGTTGGCGGGTTGGTTGGCGGGTTGGTTGGCGGGTTGGTTGGCGGGTTGGTTGGCGGGTTGGTTGGCGGGTTGGTTGGCGGGTTGGTTGGCGGGTTGGTTGGCGGGTTGGTTGGCGGGTTGGTTGGCGGGTTGGTTGGCGGGTTGGTTGGCGGGTTGGTTGGCGGGTTGGTTGGCGGGTTGGTTGGCGGGTTGGTTGGCGGGTTGGTTGGCGGGTTGGTTGGCGGGTTGGTTGGCGGGTTGGTTGGCGGGTTGGTTGGCGGGTTGGTTGGCGGGTTGGTTGGCGGGTTGGTTGGCGGGTTGGTTGGCGGGTTGGTTGGCGGGTTGGTTGGCGGGTTGGTTGGCGGGTTGGTTGGCGGGTTGGTTGGCGGGTTGGTTGGCGGGTTGGTTGGCGGGTTGGTTGGCGGGTTGGTTGGCGGGTTGGTTGGCGGGTTGGTTGGCGGGTTGGTTGGCGGGTTGGTTGGCGGGTTGGTTGGCGGGTTGGTTGGCGGGTTGGTTGGCGGGTTGGTTGGCGGGTTGGTTGGCGGGTTGGTTGGCGGGTTGGTTGGCGGGTTGGTTGGCGGGTTGGTTGGCGGGTTGGCGGGTTGGCGGGTTGGCGGGTTGGCGGGTTGGCGGGTTGGCGGGTTGGTTGGCGGGTTGGCGGGTTGGTTGGCGAGCGGGTGGGCGGGTGGGCGGGTCGGCTGGCAGGTTGGCGGTTTTGAACCCAGGCGGTAGACGGTATTGAACCCAAGACCTCTCCTTTCCAGGGATTTGTTTTGGCCCAGTGGGACACTAGGTGAGCAAAACATTGGCAGCCGCCGGCCCAGGTTGGCAGCCTTAGTGCCATTGCCCTTCCATTGTCATTTCCACTGCCATTGGGAATGGCTGTGGCAGGCGTGGGAAGGCCGGGGGGCAGGTAGCGCGGGCAGTGGGCAGTAGGTTATGACTCATGGATGTGGCACTCACGCTTTGTCTTGTGGATGTGGTACTCGAAGTCCCGGTTCGCCACAAACTCATACACGAGGATCTGCTCCTGCTTGCCACTCTCCACATCCATGTCGAGGCAGTACCCCAGCAGCCGCACCAGGTTTGTGTGGTTTAGGCTCGCCATTGCCCGCACCTGGTGGGTGGGGGGTTTAGGGTTTGGGCACAAGCACAGAGATTTAAAAGAGAAGTAAGATACAGTGAACCCCAGCAGCCGCACCAGGTCGGTGTGGTTGAGACTCTACATGGCCTGCACGCACCTGGTGGGGGTTTGGGGTTTACAGCCCAAGCACAGAGAGCTTTGAACGGGGTGAACGAAATAGTATCCTTCAGCAGCCGCACCAGGTTGGGGTGGGTCAGCGAGGCGAAATTCCGACTGAATACCAGACCTCAGAGCTACTCGCTACAGTCTGCACTGCTATACTCGTTACAAGCTGCCTCACCTCCATTTCGAAATCGTTGGACATGAGAGTCTGGCGCTTGATGGCCCACATCTGGCCGGTGGTGGGGTTGACGCCCTTGTAGACCACGGCGAAGCCCCCCTCCCCCAGCACGTTGTCGTCCGCCCAGTCGTTGGTGGCCTTGCGCATCGTGGAGAGCGAAAACTCCTGACACACGTCCAGGTCGTCCCACCGCCCTGGGGAGAAACGCAAGAGGGGTTTGAGGAATTGGCACAGGATTGGGGGTGGCACAAGGAGCGGGAGTACAGGGGGGGAGTTGGGCACTAGGGGCAGTGGCAGAGGAGGCGGGGGGAGAGGGAGGGGATGGTGGGGAGGGGGGGGAGGGGGGAGGGGAGGCACAGGGACATAGGGTCGAGGGCAGAGGAAGAAGGGGCAGATGCAGGATGGCACTCACGTCTCTTCTTGGGCCTGAGCATGACGACGAGCACGGCGGCGATGAGCGCGAGGCCCACAAAGCACCCCACGGAGATGCCCACAATGGCCCCTGTTGAGAGTGCTGCAGCGCGGGGGGGATGAGGAAAGGAGGAAGTGGGTCGGGAGGAAAGGTTGGGGGGAGAAGAGAACTAACGAAGGGATCAGAGGGACGAGGGGTAGTAGTTAAATGGGCAACGCAGGAGAGCTGGATGGGATATAGTAGTGTCCCCATAGATTGCATTGCTCTGGCAAGAAAAACCCCACCCACGTGCAACGCAGCACCTTGAAACGACGTTTTGCACTCACAGGACGACTGCAGTGCGCAAGTCGAGCCATTGCCCCCGTTCACTGCCACATAGGGCGCTTTGCACTGGCACGTGAAGCCTTGCTGGCCCGACCCCCCCTCCAGTGGCACGCAGTCCCCAAGCCCGTTACACGGGCCGTTGTCCGTCACGCTACAGAACGCCGCGCACTCCTGCGCGGGCCGCTGCGTCTCGTTCACAAGGCAACCCGCCTCGCCGCGCACCGCCAGGCAGTTCTGCAGCAGGCTCGCCTGGCCCTTCTGGTACGCCTGCGACAGCCGATAATCCTGCCTTCCAGACACCGAGTCTGCCGCCACCTTCCCTCCTCCTGTGGACCCGATGACGTTGAGGTCGCGGTAGTCGATCTGGCGCACCAAGGGCGTGGGGCACACCATGCTGCCGGCGGCGTACACAAAGGGCTCCCCATAGAAGTAGTTGTAGGCGAGGTTGATGACGGCGGGGCGGGGGTTCAGCTTCAGGTCGTTGTTGTTCATGCCCTTGAAGTCGCGGTTGATGGTGCCGTAGAACGAGTTGTTGCGCAGGTCGCTGGGGGAGGGGGGCGGGGGCGAGAGCGGGGGAGGGGGGCGGGGGGGAGAGCGGGGGAGGGGGGCGGGGCGGAGAGCGGGGGAGGGGGGTAGGAGGGAAGAAGAGTAACAGAGAGTGAGGGTCTTGCTCAGTGGGCTGGTTGTTCATGCCCTTGAAGTCGCAGTTGATGGGGCCACAGAACGAGTTCTTGCGCAGGTCGCTGGGGCAGGAGGAGCGGGAGAGGGGAGAGAAGCGAAACAAGGAAAGGGTTGGATGAGACTATGCAACGCCGGCGAATGGTTTTGGCGAATAAAGATTGCGAATGCTTTTGGCGAATTGTTTCGGCAAATGGATTTCGCGAATGGTTTTGGCAAATGGTTTTCGCGAATGGTTTTGGCGAATGGTTTTGGCGAATGGATTTGACGAATGGATTTGGCGAATGGTTTTGGCAAATGGATTTGGCGAATGGTTTCGACGAATGGTTTTGGTGAATGGTTTTGGCGAATGGATTTGGCGAATGGTTTTGTCGAATGGATTTGGCGAGAGGAACAGAGGCGGCAGGTAGGGCTCTCACAGGTAGTTGAAGCCCAAGAAGTCAAACATGCATCGCGGCAGCGGCCCGTACATGCGGTTGTTGCGCGCGCCACTGGGAAAGGAGAGAGAAAAGGTGGGGGGGGGGTGGGAAGGATAGAAGGCGTTAGGGGGAGACAAAACATCGGGAATTTGAGGCGCCTCAGAAGGAGATTAGAAGAAGTCAAGCATGCATCGGGGCAGCGACCCGTACATGCGGTTGCTGCGCACGCCACTGGGGGGGAGAAGGGGGGGGGGAATGTGAGACAGACAGAAAGCTGGAGGTTGAGGCGCGTTAAAAAAAAAAAAAGAAAAAGAAAAAGAAAAAGAAAACACTAAAAGAGGAAGCCAAGCATGAATCATAAAAGCAGTCCATACGACGTTATGAGAGCAATGCCCGCAACTCACAAGTATTCCAGGAGCTTGAGGTTGCAGAAGGAGGGCGGCAGAAGGCCCGAGATCTGATTGTCGTCCAGCAGACTGGGCAGGGGATGGGGAGTGGGACAGGCTTGAAGTCACCATTGAAAAGGGCGGCAGGAGGCCCAAAATCTGATTGCCGCCCAGCAGACTGGGCAGGGGAGGGGAAAGGGACGGTGGGTAGTGTGAGCAGGGGAGTGTGGGGGTGGGGTGAGGAGGGGGGGAAAGACAGTGAGACGCGAAGGAGCATGGGAGCCGGAAAATTAGAGAGGAGAAGGCGGCAGCGTAGACTTGAGAGGTGCCTCAAGAGAGAGTGAAAGGTGAAGCAGGGGAGGTGCGAGCGAGGACACGATGCACAGCAGTGGCCCATGTGGTGCAGGGGGGGGGAGGGGAGGGGGGGGGGAGGGGGTGGGAAGAGGAGAAGGTGGCAAAAGGAAGGGTGGGAGAATGCGCGAGAGAGTGCGAGAGGGCGCTCCATACAGCTGTCGCAGGTTAGAGAGGGAGGCAAAGAAGTCGGGGAGAGTGCCTGAGAGCTGATTGTTGGCCAGCCATCTGCACGGTTGGACACGGGGGGTTGGGGTGAAATCGGAGCAGGGAGAAATTGGGTTGGTAAGGGGAGGTAGGGTTGGAGAGAAAGAGCGGAACATGATAAAGATGTGGAGTGATTAGAAGGGAGTGAGGGGGAGATGGGGAGGAGCAGAGTGCTAGAGGGCTGCAAGGGACGACTGGAGCAGTGGGTGCAGGGAAGCACATGGCAAAAAGGCCTTTTCACATGGTGTCAAGGGCTGTGAGCTCTCACATGGTGTCAAGGGCTGTGAGCTCTCACATGGTGTCAAGGGCTGTGAGCTCTCACATGGTGTCAAGGGCTGTAAGCTCTCACATGGTGTCAAGGGCTGTGAGCTCTCACATGGTGTCAAGGGCTGTGAGCTCTCACATGGTGTCAAGGGCTGTGAGCGCTGAGAGCGAGGATGGGATGTTGCCCGACAGTTGATTGCCCTGAAGAGTGCTGCAGCTCAGGGGATGGAGCACAGGAGACATGGCACATACCACATCACACATGCTGGTTACAATGCTGCCATACATGCTGCCGTACTGGCTGCCGTACATGCTGCTGTACATGCTGCCATACATGCTGCCATACATGTCCTGCATGCTTAAGTCCGTGACACAACTCCCCCTGCCACTACCCCCGTGCCACTAGCCCCCCGTGCCACTATCCCCCGTGCCCCGTGCCGCTACCCCCGGTACCCCATGCCGCTGCCCCCGTGCCACTACCCCCCGTGCCACTGCCCCCCGTGCCACTACCCCCCGTGCCGATAGCCCCCATGCTGCTAGCCCCCGTGCCCCCACCACCCCATGCCCCGTGCCACTACCCTCCCGTGCCACTAGCCCCCCGTGCCACTAGCCCCTGTGCTACTACCCTCCGTGCCACTACCCCCCGTGCCACTACCCCCCGTGCCCCCTGTACCCCTGTAGCGGTTGACCCAAGGAAGCGACGACTGGCCCAAGAAATGGGAGATGGACGTTAAAAAGGTGTGATTTCCCCTAGGAAGGGGCAATGAGCCCCATGCATGCAGACGTAACATTGAAGGGATGTGATTGTAGTGAGCGACGACTCACATGTTATTGAGAGTTGTGATTGTAGTGAGCGATACTCACATGACGTTGAGAGTTGTGATTGTAGAGAGCGAGTCCGGGATGGAGCCAGTGAAAGCGTTGAACCCTAGATACCTGGGGCAGTGTGGGGGGTGGTGGGGTCCACAGTGGGAGGCACAGTCGTACCACTCCAAGAAGGGTGTGTGCACAGTGCACATGAAGCTACCAACACTCTCTGCATGGAAAAAGAAGGTTGAAGAATCCAGCAGAGGGGACATGACGGAAAGCAGATAAGTGGGCATGCAGCAGGGCAGGGGAGTCTGGTGCAGTGCAGACTGGTGCAGCATGGTTGTGTGCAGTGTCCATTCTGTATGCAGGCCACTCTCGGACCAGCACTCATGAACATGCAAGCAATGCAATGCTTCTCTCTGTGCTCCGAAAGAGCAAACGGTACGACACGGTGCAGAGGCGTACAGAGCGTTGAGGCTGGTGTTCCACTGGGCGAAGTCAGGCAGTGGGCCACTGAAAGAGTTGCCCTCGAGATTGCTGGGAGACACACATGTGGCAGGGGTGGGAGAAGTGGTTACACAGGGTAAACACCAGCACAAAGCAGCAGCACTCGGCACTCACAGCGTGCGCAGCAAAACTCACCGCGCCCAGCAAAACTCACCGCACCCAGCAACACTCACAGCATGCTGAGTTGGCCACTGGATGCGAGACTCTGCGGAATGCTGCCTTGGAAGTAATTGTAGGCGAGGAAGCTGGAAATAGGACACCGGGAGGAGAGTATGGCACACCCAATGGATGGCACACCCAATGGATGGCACTTCAAAGCTATGACACAGTGCCCAGCTGACTCAACCACAGGAAGACTTGACGCGGGCAGAACGGGAGGCAGGCAGAAGGGCGAGAGGCGCAAGGATACGGATAATAAAAAGCCGGGATTCACGGTCGTCCACACATGAAGGCACAAGGAGGGCAGGAACTGGGATGAGCTGGCTTTCGAGGATTCCAATTGAACGGGAAACGCACAGCTCTGTCATGTGGTTGAGCTGGAAGAGGAAGGTGGGCATCTCCCCTGAGAACTGGTTGTGGTCCAGATGCCTGATGGGCAGGGGCAGGACGAGAGAGGCAGAGGGCGAGCGGGTGAGAGGGAGAGGGAGGGAGGGAGGGAGGGCGGGAGGGAGGGTGGGAGGCAGAGAGATGGAGGGAGACAGAGAAAGGGAGGGAGAGGGAGGGAGGGGTGAGGGCAAGAGGAAGACAGAGGGACTGGAAAAGTAAAAAACATGGAATAACACCCCATGGGCCACTTACGGACTTGCTTGCCCGGTTTTTAGACGAGCAGTACTCACAGAACGGCAAGCCCAGTGAGCAGCACTCACAGAACGGCAAGCCCAGTGAGCAGCACTCACAGAACGGCAAGCCCAGTGAGCAGCACTCACAGAACGGCAAGCCCAGTGAGCAGCACTCACAGAACGGCAAGCCCAGTGAGCAGCACTCACAGAACGGCAAGCCCAGTGAGCGGCACTCACAGAACGGCAAGCCCAGTGAGTGCGGTGATACCCAGCGGTACGGAGCCCTGGAATTTGTTGTATGCCAGGTCGCTGCGGAAGAGGGAAGCGAGGGTACAAGGTGTGGAGATAGAGAGAGCACAAGGACGGAGGAGAGTTGGAGAGGGGGGGAACATAGGAGGGGAAGGAGGGTGAATGGTGAACGGAGGATGGTGTGCTTGAAAGTGGGAGCTGCAAGTGGAGTGGAGGCATGCTGTGGCAGGGAGAGCAGGGGCGACAGATAATAGCAAGAAGATAATTCAGAATGGGACTCCAAGGCTTGCAGCGTGCTGATAGAGAGGCTTGCAGCGTGGTGATAGAGAGGGTTGCAGCGTGGTGATAGAGAGGCTTGCAGCGTGGTGATAGAGAGGGTTGCAGCGTGGTGATAGAGAGGCTTGCAGCGTGGTGATAGAGAGGGTTGCAGCGTGGTGATAGAGAGGCTTGCAGCGTGGTGATAGAGAGGGTTGCAGCGTGGTGATAGAGAGGCTTGCAGCGTGCTGATAGAGAGGGTTGCAGCGTGGTGATAGAGAGGCTTGCAGCGTGCTGATAGAGAGGGTTGCAGCGTGGTGATAGAGAGGCTTGCAGCGTGGTGATAGAGAGGGTTGCAGCGTGGTGATAGAGAGGCTTGCAGCGTGGTGATAGAGAGGCTTGCAGCGTGGTGATAGAGAGGGTTGCAGCGTGGTGATAGAGAGGCTTGCAGCGTGGTGATAGAGAGGCTTGCAGCGTGGTGATAGAGAGGGTTGCAGCGTGGTGATAGAGAGGCTTGCAGCGTGGTGATAGAGAGGCTTGCAGCGTGGTGATAGAGAGGGTTGCAGCGTGGTGATTGAGAGGCTTGCAGCGTGGTGATAGAGAGGGTTGCAGCGTGGTGATAGAGAGGCTTGCAGCGTGGTGATAGAGAGGCTTGCAGCGTGGTGATAGAGAGGGTTGCAGCGTGGTGATTGAGAGGCTTGCAGCGTGGTGATAGAGAGGGTTGCAGCGTGGTGATAGAGAGGCTTGCAGCGTGGTGATAGAGAGGCTGGCAGCGTGGTGATAGAGAGGGTTGCAGCGTGGTGATTGAGAGGGTTGCAGCGCGGTGATTGAGAGGGTTGCAGCACGGTGATTGAGAGGGTTGCAGCGCGGTGATTGAGAGGGTTGCAGCGCGGTGATTGAGAGGGTTGCAGCGCGGTGATTGAGAGGGCTGCAGCGCACGTACAGTCCTTCGAGCATGGTGAGCTCCAGCAGCACGGAGGGGAACTCCCCTGACAGGCTGTTGTTTGCTGCCGTGCTGCCCTGACGAGAACGCGTGAGAGAGAACACACGTGCCGGGCCAAGGCACGAGAGATGGGGAGATGGGTGAGTATGTCAGATGCTGAGGAACGAGAGCAATGCACCTTTCTAGCAATGCACATTCTTAGGGATGTGGAAAAGATAGTCAAGAACGGACCTGCAATCACGCAGCGCAAGACTGAAGCTAAAAGCGTCCATGCTTGAATGCCTCACAGGTGTGCAAGAATCTTAGGTGCATACGACTCACAGGTGTGCAAGAATCTTAGGTGCATACGACTCACAGGAGTGCAAGAATCTTAGGTGCATACGACTCACAGGAGTGCAAGAATCTTAGGTGCATACGACTCACAGGAGTGCAATAATCTTAGGTGCATACGACTCACAGGAGTACAAGAATCTTATGTGCATATGACTCACAGGAGTGCAAGAATCTTAGGTGCATACGACTCACAGGAGTGCAAGAATCTTAGGTGCATACGACTCACAGGAGTGCAAGAATCTTAGGTGCATACGACTCAAAGGTGTGCAAGAATCTTAGGTACATACGACTCACGGGTACGTAAGAATCCCGGGTGCATACGACTCACGGGTATGCAAGATTCTTAGGTACACGCAACTCACAGGAATCGAAGACTCACAGCACGACAAGAGAGGCGAGCATGGAGAACTCAGGAGGAAGTGACCCTGAGTAGTTGTTGGATCCAATGTCACTGCCGGTGGTGGGAGAAAGGGGGGGAGAGAGCAGATTTTAGAGTCGCCTCAAAACTCAGAGGGCAAATCCCTGAGAATAGGCTAGAGCATACTACCCGCCTGGGTCGGGTACCCGGACCCGGATCCGCTTTTAGGGCGGGTCGGGTCCGGGTTACCCGGGCGGGTATTTGATACCCGCTACCCGAAACGTTACCCGACGTGTCGGGTAACGGGTACCCGACCCGGTCAGGTAATTAATACCCGAGGTTGGGTATCACACCTAGACATGGGTGTAAGTCGCGCTATGTTTTAGGTTTTGCAGCAAAACGGTTTGGGAGGTGAGGGGGGACGAGTGGAGCATTGTGAGGAGAAGTTGGAGTTTGTAGATGGGGAGGAGTTAAGTGCGATGAAAGGGAGAGAGTTGGGTGGGAGTTGGAGAAAAAGGTTGGAGTTTGTAGATGGGGAGGAGTTCAGTGCGGTGAAAGGGAGGGAGTTTGGTTGGAAATGTTGGAGTTTGTAGACGGGGAGGAGTTCAGTGCGGTGAAAGGGAGGGAGTTGGGCGGTCAAAATTCGACCCCCGAGAAAACGCGACTCATTTGGGAGTCGTGTTTTCAGAAACCCTAGCTAGCCTAGCCCGTTTTTAGGAGGCCCACTAGTAGGTGGCGGGTAGTAATACCCGCTATTCAGGGTAACCGGGTCGGGTATACCCGGACCCAACAGGAGGGTGTTGTATTACCCGTCCCCTAAGGCCGGGTCCGGGTAAGGGTCGTGGGCATATTACCCGACCCGGACCCGACCCGAAAATACCCAACTCGAGGTCGGGTATTGCAAAACCGGGTCGGGTCGGGTAATTACCCGGTTTTGCTCAACCCTACCTGAGAAGATGTTAGAGCCAATGTCAGTGGCACTGCCAGTGGCGGTTCTAGCAGGAGGAGGGAAGAAGGGGAGAGGGAGCAAGAGGGGCTTGTCTCACATGGTGACAGCTCTCACATGGTAACCACTCTCACATGGTAACCACTCTCACATGGTAACCATTCTCACATGGTAACCACTCTCACATGGTGATGATGAGAGGCATGCTTGCGATGACGTCCAGTCCTCCTGACAGCTGGTTGAAGCTCAGCATGCTGCACACGGCAGCACACATGCATGCATGGCAGCACACATGCATGCACGACAGCACACATGCATGATAAAATAAAAGCAGAGCAGGCAGCTTCAGTGCGCAATGATGTGTCACTCTGCACGCGCCCGGCATTGTACCATGCGGGATACAGGTCACCGTGCGACACCATGCAATGCAGCAAACTGTTGGTGCTGCTGGGACTTACACGTCTGTGAGGGCCTCGAGCTTTGTGAAGGACTTGGGAATGGTTCCAGTGAAGCGGTTGCTGTTGAGCTTACTGCGAAAGGGCAGGAGACAGCCCGTGGAAAGGGGAAGGGGGGGCGGGGGGAAGAGGAAGTGGCGGAGAAAGGGGGGAGAAGAATACAGAGTGACTGAAAGAATGAGCAGTGGAGCAAATCAGTGGAGATTTACATTGATGAAAAAGCATTTTTTTCTTCCTTATCCAGCTTGGTGCACTTTAGTCGTTATACGGATGCACTGATGATAACACGCACAGCTTCAGATACAGCTTGCTAAAATCGGCTGGACAGAACGTCACGTCAGAAGGCAATCAGGATTTCAGGTTTTAAGGGCAGGGGGGGAGGGAGGGAGAGAGGCAGGGATGGAGGGAGGGAGGGAGGGAGGGAGGGGCAGGCAAACCGTACAGATTGGAGAGAGATGGAAGGTTTCCGAGCGCAGAAGGGAGAGACCCCTCAAACTTGTTGTCGTTGAGTATCCTGTGGTGTGGTGGGAGGGCGGCAACTGGATGGTAATGCATCTAGCATACAGGCTGATTGAGTGGCACTTCTGCTGATGGACCAAGGCGGAGAAAGGGGAGCGGCACTAGAGTTCGATACAGGGTTGCGCAATAGAGAGACAGGTGGCAGGGAGGGGAATGAAAGCAGCGCCACGAGATGCTGCTGGCTGGAGCTCCACAGGAGGTGGTCCGAATGCAGGGAACTAGTTTTGAGGCGCCTCTAAACTAGACTCTTAGCAGCGCCACGAGACGAGATGCTGCTGGCTGGAGCTCCACAGGAAGTGGTCCGATCCGAATGCAGGGAAATCACTACCCTTGGGACCCGAATGCACCGGGATTACTAGCTTGGGGTCCTCCAGCCACGCATGAAACAAACACGGAGAATGACACGGTGAAGGAAGGAACGGATGAAACCCGGGGCACTGATGCTGCGGGGAGGGAGAGAGGAGCATAGGGGAGGACCATAGGGGAGGACAATGATCCCCATGCACTCACTCACAGTTCTTCGAGGCTTGGGCTGAACACGCCAGGCAGTGAGCCGCTCATTTCATTTATCGACAGATCCCTGCATTGACGAGAGAGATGCGCAGGGAAGCATGCGTGCAGCGCAGAGGATTAAGAAGGAAAGAAGACACCAAAGAAGGAAAGAAGACACCAAAGAAGGAAAGAAGACACCAAAGAAGGAAAGAAGTCACCAAAGAAGGAAAGAAGACACCATTGAAAGACTCTCTAGATTAACACTCATGAAAGCTGACACGTGCATACCACTCACTCCGGCAACTATCCCTGCCCCATGCACAACGCACTTGCCACAGCACAGGCGTGCCGAATGCAGAACACACATCACGGCATGGCCCAAGGCAGGCGTGTGGAATGCAGCACACACATCACGGCATGGCCCAAGGCAGGCGTGCGGAATGCAGCACACACATCACGGCATGGCCCAAGGCAGGCGTGCGGAATGCAGCACACACATGGCACAACACAGGCGCAGTCATACACTCCTCAGAAGAGGGAGGGCGGTCTAATGCGAGGACTCACAGATTCGCAAGGCACGAGGCATGACTCACAGCTTTGTGAGGCTCTCGAGCTTGGAGAAGCTTGCTGGAATGGAGCCGAGAATGCCGTTCTGCTGCAGGTCCCTGGCTCGTTCACAGGGGACACACAGGGTACGGCCACACAGAGAGTGACGTTGAGAGATGACGGCCGTGGCGGCAACACCCTGCTGCTCCTGAGGCTCATCAAGTTGAGAAATGCGTGGATTCGATTCGGCCAGCAATAGGCTTTCATCAGCAACACCCTGCTGCTCCTGAGGCTCATCAAGTTGAGAAATACGTGGACTCGATTCGGCCAGCAATAGGCTTTCATCAGCAATACCCTGCTGCTCCTGAGGCTCATCAAGTTGAGAAATACGTGGATTCGATTCGGCCAGCAATAGGCTTTCATCAGCAACACCCTGCTGCTCCTGAGGCTCATCAAGTTGAGAAATACGTGGACTCGATTCGGCCAGCAATAGGCTTTCATCAGCAACACCCTGCTGCTCCTGAGGCTCATCAAGTTGAGAAATACGTGGATTCGATTCGGCCAGCAATAGGCTTTCATCAGCAACACCCTGCTGCTCCTGAGGCTCATCAAGTTGAGAAATACGTGGATTCGATTGGGCAGCAATAGGCTTTCATCAGCAACACCCTGCTGCTCCTGAGGCTCATCAAGAAGTGCGAGAAGAGAGAGGGCCGAAGGCGTGTCCCATGTGAGAGGGCGGTGAGGGACTCACAGAGACGTGAGGGCGGTGAGGGACTCACAGAGACGTGAGGGCGGTGAGGGACTCACAGAGACGTGAGGGCGGTGAGGGAGGCCCACGAGTCCGGAAGGAAACCAACCAGACCATTTCCTGTAGCCACACTGCACGGCACAGGCGGGTGGACCATAGGTGGAGACATGACAGCACATATGCGTTGGTGGGTGTGTGGTTGTGTCCACTGGGCATGCATGAACGAGGGAGAGATGGGCACAGGAATTTGAGGAGAGGGGGGGGAGAGCAAGGGTGATGGGCAGGTAGGGCAAGAGTGAGAGACAGTGGGATAAACGCGGGAGATGGACAAACAGGAATCAAGGGAAGAGCCAAGGGAGATGCGGGGCTGGCAGCACAACGAGACATCTGACTGAGGAACTCGAGAAGGGAGGGAGGCTAAAGCGGGGCTGGAGAGGGGAGGCATATGCGGGGCTCAAGAAGGGAGGGAGGCACCGGCAGGGCTGGAGAGGGGAGGGAGGCACATGCGGGATTCGAGAGGGGAGGCACATGCGGCACTCACAACTCCTCAAGGTGCACGAGCCTGGAGAGGTCCTGCGGCACGGGGCCTGAGCGCTGATTCCTCATGTCCGGGAGGATGCTGGCAGCAGTGACAGGGGGGGGGGGAAGGGGAGGGGAGGGGAGCAGGGCGAGCAGGAGAAGAGATGGGTGGTGAATGGTGTGGTGGGTCCTGTGGCACGGGGCCAGGGCCAGCAGGGCGAGCAGGAGAAGAGATGGGAGGTAAATGGTGTGGTGGGTCCTGTGGCACGGGGCCAGGGCCAGCAGGGCGAGCAGGAGAAGAGATGGGTGGTGAATGGTGTGGCGTGGATTACAGATGGCGGAGGTTGGTGAGCGTGGCTTACAGATGGCGGAGGTTGGTGAGCGTGGCTTACAGATGGCGGAGGTTGGTGAACGATGCGAGCCAGAGAGGCACGTTGTTGAAGTAGAGGTAGCTCAGGTCCCTGCAGTGCAGTGCAGCCACACGGGTCAGGGCACGGGTAAGGATACGGGTAGCGGATCAGGTTTGCAGTGCTCAAGTGGTTCGGGCCTTCACCGGTGCTAAGCCAAGGTGCCTCAAGCAATGAGCGGGGAACGGGGCATGGGGGACAGGGAAAAGCCAAGGAAGGCACGGCAGGGAGTGCGAGGCTGACAGGAAGGTGAGCTTGTCGAGCAGAATGAGGGTGGCAGGAAGCTCCCCCTCCACGCGCATGTCAGCAAACTCCCTGGTGGTGGAGGGTGCAGAGTGCCGCAAGAAGGAATGTGGAAGCAAAGGGAGAAAAGGTGCTGTCCCCCCCCCCCCCCCCCAAATGCATGTCGGCAAGAAAGGAAATGAGGAAGAAGGAACGACGGGCGCGAGGAAGGCCCAAGGGGAGGGGGGATGATGAGACACTGGCTGGTGATGGTAGCAGATGGTGGGAGAAAGTGGAATTTGCAGAATGGAGGACAGGATTTAGGAGAGAGAGAAGAGACGAGGAGGGAAGATAGGGAGTGCAGGTTGGGGGGGGTGGAGAGACGTACAGATGTCGCAAATTAGACAGCAAGGTGAGGAAGGTCATGTCTTGAAGCTGGCCTGTCACGTTGTGCAGAGATTTCAGCTCCCTGGACCAATTTGCATGTCACACGCACACAGCACACCGCGCATCAGGTCAGCCATAGCAGACAGAGCACAGCAGAGCACACAACACTCAGCAGAGCACACATCAGAGCACACAGCAGAGCACACAGCAGAGCACACAGCAGAGCACACAGCAGAGCACACAGCAGAGCACACAGCACACAGCAGAGCACACAGCACACAGCAGAGCACACAGCAGAGCACACAGCAGAGCACACAGCAGAGCACACAGCAGAGCACACAGCAGAGCACACAGAAGAGCACACAGCAGAGCACACAGCAACGCACACAGCACACACAAGCCAGTATGTGGTGCAGAGCTGTTTGCCTGCCTGCTGTGTGTTATGGTAAATCGGGGGTTTGCCCAGCGAGAAAGGCTGATGCAGTCGAAGCTTGGTCTTCACGTTGACATTAAGGCGCGTACAGCCGTTGCAAGTTGGCTCTAAAGCACATACAGCTGTTGCAGGCTGGAGATGCTCGAGAGGGAGGAGAAGGACGTGAAGTCCCCCATGAGGTTATAGGCCTGCTTGATGGCACTGCGGTCAAGGAGGGGGGCGAGACGAGAGGGGCAAGGGAGAAGAGGGGTTTGAGAGGCCTCAAATCTCGATTATGATCACACAAGATGGAGAGGCACGAGAGGGGGAAGGAGGAGAAGCTCCCCTTGAGGTCGTAGGCATGCTTGATGGTGCTGCAGTGAGGGAGGGGGTGAGAGAGGAGAGGGGTGAGCGAGGAGAGGGGTGAGAGGAAAGAAGTAAAGCGAAGTAGGAAGGGAGGTGAGGTGGGGAAAGGGATGGAGTAGGGGCAGTGAAGGAAGGGGAGTGCTCAGCAGGGGAGTTTGGCAGTAGCAGGAGCGGAAGACTGGACGCCGGTGGACGGTGGACGGTGGACACCGGTGGACAGTGGACACCGGTGGTCCGTGGACGGTGGACGCTGGACGCCGGTGGACGGTGGACGGTGGACGCCGGTGGACAACGGGGGGTGGACAGTGTCCACCGGTGGACGGTGGACGGGTGGACGGCGTCCAACGGTGCACGCCAGTGGACGGTGGGCGGTGGACAGCGTCCACCGGTGGGCGCTGGTGGACGGTGGACGCCGGTGGACGGTGGACGGTGGACGGTGGACGGCGTCCACGGGTGGACGCTGGTGGAAGGTGGACGGTGGACGGTGGACGCCGGTGGACAGTGGACGCCGGTGGACGGTGGATGGTGGACGCCGATGCACGGAGGATGGTGGACGGCGTCCACCGGTGGACGCCGGTAGACGGTGGACGGTGGACGCTGGACGCTGGACGCTGGTGGACGCCGGTGGACGGTGGACAGTGGACGCCGGTGGCCAGTGGACGCCGGTAGACGGTGGACGGTGGACGCCGGTGGATGGTGGACGGTGGACGCCGGTGGACGGTGGACGCTGGTGGACGGTGGACGGTGGAGTGGATGCCGTGGACGGTGGACGGTGGACGCAGGTGGACGGTGCACGGGAAGGCAGCAGCGGCAAGAGAAGAGGAGATGAGGCGTGACAGCAGAAGAAGGAAGGGGATTTCGCAACACACACACACAGACACACACTCACACACTCTCACACACACACTCACGAACACTCACACTCACACACTCTCTCTCTCTCTCTCACACACACACACACACACATACACATGCATACACACACACACACAAACACACTTCATCACTTGCATGAGTGCAGGAAAACGAGATGGCTAGCCAATAAGGAGGGGGCTCACAGGAAGGTAAGGGAGGTGAGCTTGCTGACCACACCCATGACATTCCCTGAGGGGTCAGTGTCTGACAGGTCCCTGCATGACGAGGATGCCAATAAGGGAGGCAGGAACAGGAGATAAGATTGCTGGTGACCACGCTGACGACGTTCCTTGTAAGCTTGTTCTTCGACCGATCCCTGTGTAACGGAGATGAACAATGCCCAAGGTGATATCAATTGGAGGGGATGGCATTTGTGGGGGGGTGTTTCAGATGGTTACCACTTTGTTGTTACCATGCAGGCAAAGTGAGCAGACGGATGAGTGCGCTAGGTAGAAACAATGTGGGAGCCGATTGACACAATGAGGTGAGTGAGATTGCACGCACAGGTATGTGAGATTGGAGGCAGCAGCGAGTGAAGGAGGGAGGGCGCCTGTCGCTCTGGTCCTTGTGAGGTCACTGGTGCATGGAAGCAGAGGTGGGTAGGCGGGTCTCATAACGAGACGGACAGATGAGAAAATGAGGAGCAGCCCTGAAACGGGTAAGGGAAGGTGAGCAAAGGATGGTTCATCGCAGGAGGAGCGAAGATGTGACTTTGGAGTCGACTCAAAGGTGAGCAAAGGATGGTTCATGGCAGGAGGAGCGAAGATGGGAAACGGCTGGTGCAAGTCCTACGGCTACGAGGCGTGAAACCATGGAGAAAAAAGGCAGATTCTGATGCTGAGTGAGCGAGGGGAAAACAGGTATCTGAAGAGGGAGGGAGCGACAAAAGCAGCATGGACCAAAGGTACGTGTGTGTGCACTGTACACGTATTGGAGGGACGGTGAGTAGCCAAGAATTTCGAGAGTGGTGTTTAGTTCGAACTCCGCACAGCGAAGGTTCCTGGAAAGGAGGGATGAAGGAGTAGGGCGTTTGGATGGTTGTGCTAATTTGATCGTTGTAACTTATGCTGCAAAAAAAAAAGTAAATATAATACTTACATGAGCAGCACGCCACACAAACCACTCACAGCACTCGCAGCCCTGTTATGTGATGCGATCACTTCTGAGACGCGTCAAGAGCAGCACGCCACCCACACCACTCACAGCAATCGTGCCACTCACAGAACTCACAGCACTCACACCACTCGCAGCACTCACAGCACTCACACCACTCACGCCACTCACACCACTCACACCACTCACAGCACTCACACCACTCACAGCACTCACACCACGCACATCACTCACACCACGCACAGCACTCACACCACGCACAGCACTCAAACCACGCACAGCACTCACACCACTCACAGCACTCACACCACTCACAGCACTCACACCACTCGCAGCATTCACACCACTCACAGCACTCACACCACGCACAGCACTCACACCACGCACAGCACTCGCAGCACTCACAGCACTCACACCACTCGCAGCACGCACAGCACTCACAGCACTCACAGCACTCACAGCACTCACAGCACTCACAGCACTCGAAGTCCCGTCATGTGCTGCAACGCGTGGGCAGGAAAGGGCGGAATGAGCTGATTTTCAGCCAGATCCCTGGCAGGGCGAGAAGGGCAGGGGGAGTGAGGTAGGGAGAGTGGGGCAGGGAGAGAGAGGCGAAAGAATGGGGCAGGGAGACTCAAAGTGGTAGGGGGAATGGTGCAGCCTTCAACGCCTCAAATGCTTCTTCTTCTTACAACTGGGTTGATGTAGACGGCCCTATGGCACGCCTCCTTCCTTTGTACAGCTTCAAGTTGACATCAACAAACTACTTGAATTGGGAAGGAAGCAGAGATGCTCCTAGCGTGCGTGAAGGTGTGTGACGGAGCATAAAGGTGCGTGAAGGTGCGTGGTGGTGCGTGGCTGGCTCACAGTATCCGCAGCTGCCTGAGCTGCTGGAAGGCGCGCACTGGAATGGAGCCATTGATGACGTTGTAGGAGAGGTCCCTGGATGGGTACAGGGATCGATAGATAGATAGATAGATAGATCGATAGATCGATAGATAGATAGATAGATAGATAGATAGATAGATAGAGATAGACAGACAGACAGACAGACAGACAGACAGACAGACAGACAGACAGACAGACAGACAGACAGACAGACAGACAGACAGACAGACAGACAGACAGACAGACAGACAGACAGACAGACAGACAGACAGACAGACAGACAGACAGACAGACAGACAGACAGACAGACAGACAGACAGACAGACAGACAGACAGACAGACAGACAGACAGACAGACAGACAGACAGACAGACAGACAGACAGACAGACAGACAGACAGACAGACAGACAGACAGACAGACAGACAGACAGACAGACAGACAGACAGACAGACAGACAGACAGACAGACAGACAGACAGACAGACAGACAGACAGACAGACAGACAGACAGACAGACAGACAGAGAGAGAGAGAGAGAGAGAGAGAGAGAGAGAGAGAGAGAGAGAGAGAGAGAGAGAGAGAGAGAGAGAGAGAGAGAGAGAGAGAGAGAGAGCCCATGGTATATAAGGCTCCTCCACCCATCCTAGAGTTCATTATTTAGTTTTGAGCTGAGTTTTTAGTTTCCAGTTCTTTCTTTTCTCCAACCCTTGGTGGCGGGAGAGAGGAGAGAGAGAGCGAGAGAGAGAGAGAGAGAGCATGAGTCCCTCCCTAGCTATTTAAGCTCTCTCCCTAGCTCATTCTTCCAGTTTAGTTTCCAGTTCTTTCTTTTCTCCAACCCTTGGTGGCGGCTCGCGTCGGCGGCCTTCGGCCGCCGACGCTCGCAGCGCGGCCTTCGGCCGCGCGTGAGGGGCGGCAAGGACACAAGGCTTTGGAGTCAACTACGACAACATCAATACACACATCCGGGGTCTACAACCCGCCAACACTACACACGGCAAACAAGCATGGAGAGCCTGACAGAGCTTACCAGAGCGCTCACGCTAGAGCGCACTTCACCAACCAGAACCTACACACGACGGCAGCCCATCATGCGGCTTCGTCCGCTCCAGCCTCCTCAAGCAGGGCCCTCACATAGTCCCCCAGGAGCATCAGCGCTGACACGGCACCGCCAACGATGTCTACAGCTGCAGCCGAGTCTACGCTCGCCGATACTGTCCGCATCACGGCGAGCAGGCGCGGGTCCAACACGGTTCCCGAGGCGGGCGCAGGCTGCACTCGCGTGGACACGACCGCCAGATCCGCTGCAGCCATCGCGCAGCGATGGAGCGGATCGTGAGGCATCTTGCACGGGCTCACTGAGCTCCGTAGAACGGAGTGTGAGTCCGTCAACATCTCCACAGCATACCCCATCGCCCTCTGCGCGTGCCAGAGCCGACGAAGCGTGGCGACTGGGATCGCAGTCTCCGCCAGCCGCCCCCTCCCCCGCAGGCGCTCCAGCTGCGCCCTCTGCGGCATCCGCAGCCCACCCGAGCGACGCCACCCCTGGTCCCCAGGAGGCGAGTCCTCGCCCGTGGATTCCGCTCCCCCCATCTCCGCTGCTTCTGCCCCCCCCTCAACTCCAGTCGGTGACGCCAGCGAACGGCGGGGGGGGACAAAGGACGCTGTCGCCCGCCCGCCGAACGATACTGGTGCCTCCAACGGCGGTGGGCCACGGGACCATCCTACCACCGACACATCCGGGGGCGTCGGCCGCCAGGGCTGCAGTGTCTCCGCGGACCGCACGTCCAACCGACGCGGATCGAAGGGACCGGCCGAGGGAAGGACCGGCGGAGGTGGTGCGGAGGGAAGGGACGCCAAGAGGTGCGGGCTGTCGAGGAGCGGGAGCGCTGCCACACCGCGGGGAGGGAACGCCGGCGCCGGCGCCTGAGGAAGGGGTAACCGCACGGGCTGCGAGTGCGCCGGCTGGTACTGCTGGGACGCCAAAAGCTGCGGAGAATACGCCAGAGCCTGCTGGGGTTGGGCGACACTGCGGAACAAGCCCTCGAGAGTCGCCGCGGCCCGCCCTAGGCGCCTCTCCGCTGCGGACCCACGGTTACTCCCCCCGCCAGCCCTCCAGCCGACGCGCTGGCCCGCACGCCCGCGCGGCGCCTGCGGAGTCCGGCGCTGCTGCCCCGGCCCCGCCTGGGGGCGGCGCGGAGGCGTCCCTCAGCGAGAGGGACGCTGCTGGCGCGGTGACTGATGCTCCTCGCCACGCGCCACTGGTTCACGTCCAATATCCAAGGCGCGCTCAGGGGACTTCTCCTCGTGTCTCTGGGGCGCGGCAGTCCTGCCCCGCGACTGCCCCCGCATCCGCTCGGGAGTTTGATGGCGAGCCGTCGAGGGGACGAGGAGCCCGCGCTCCCAATCTCGGTTCGACAGTGCTGGAGGACTCGCCCGACCTTGGGGGGACTCGCTGTCCCCAGTACTCTCCAAATCGGCAGAACGCTCCCGCGCTGGTCGCTCCATCCCGAGGAGGCGCGCCGCACTCGGCACCCCCCACGACTCGGCACAAAAGCCGAACGACGACCAGGGCCGCCCCGAGGGGAAACCACGGAGGCGGACGCGGAAGCCTCAATACACGGACGGCCGGAGGGCGCGGTCGCGGGGCTGCAAGGCGTGGCAATCTGTCCTCCGACGGAGGACCGCTGAACGGATTCCAGCAGGCAGCGAACAGGGCTTTAAGTGCCTCGGAACTGCAACGAACAACTGATGAGGAGGAACGGGCAGACGGAACTTATATACCAGGGGACCAGGGAGACCCCACGCCTGAGACCTCCAGTGAGGAGGAAAACGTCGAAACAAACAGGCGCGCTGGAGGACGAGAGACTGACCCAACTCCCAGATCTAGGGGACGAGGGTCCAGCCGCATGCACAATACTCGGGCACCGCTGGACACCCATCCCCAGGCAGTCCCGCAGTTGTCCCCGGAAGAACTGGCGAATGACCCCTCCCGATTCGCCGTCATCGCCACTTGGGACGTCGCGGCCCTCTGCGACAGTCGCCAACCCCCTCTCTCCCGCCGGTTACCCCCCCAAATCCGTCAACTTTTCGCGCTCGCCCTTCTGACACCCCTCCTTTTCCTCGCCAAACATCCAACCTCCATTGAGGGTTGGATCCTGTTACTTTACCTCCCGCGCCTCACACTTCGCCTACCCTCACCACGACGCCCTGACTGGCCCGCGACGGAAAGACGACTTCGACAATTTCTCGCGGGCCATTGGGACACACTGTATCAAGCAGCTGCCTCTGCTGTCACCATGCCACCCCCTCCCCGCCACGTACCTGACACTCTTGGGAAAATATCCCGCGCCGAGGGCTTGGTACGCCGAGGCAGTTTGCGACGGGCTCTGCTCGCGTTGACTTCGACCCCAGTCAGCAAGTCCACCCCCACGGTGCTGGACGCGCTGAAGTCAAAACACCCCCCTCCGCTTGTCGAAAGCCTCACCTGGCCACGGCTTGACGAAAACTGCAGGCCGCCGACAGTCGATTTCGCTACGTTCGCGAAGCTCCTCTCTCGCTCCGAAAATGGAGTTGGGGCAGGCCCCTCGGGGATGACCTTCGAGCACCTTCGCGACGCCTCGCTGTCCAACCCCACCGTCGCCACAAACCTCCACAAGCTCGTCCAGCGGCTACTGGCGGGTAACCTGCCGCACGAAGTCAGCCAGCTCGTTACCTCCTCACGCCTCCTGGCCCTTACCAAGCCAGATGGGGGTACCCGCCCCATCGCAATAGGAGAGTGTCTCCTTCGGCTAGCGGCAAAAGCCGCGCTAATCTCCTCCACGCAATCCGCGCAAGACTACTTCCTACCACACCAATACGGGGTAGCCATCAGGAGCGGCGGAGAAACCATTATCCATGCCACCAGGGGTTTTACCTCAGCGCGCCCGGGCTCACTCATCCTACAAGTCGACCTTTCAAACGCCTTTAATAGCGTTGACCGCACGGCCATCATCCACGCCATTAACACCTCGCCCCTGCGCCCGCTCCTCCCCTTCATTCAATTCTCCTACGGAGCACCGTCGCTGCTCTACCTCGACGCCGAGTTCGACAGCCCACCCCTACTCAGTGCGCGGGGAGTTCGCCAAGGGGACCCCATGGGCCCCCTCCTCTTCGCAGCCGCCATCCACCCAGCGCTCCGAACAACCGCCGCGGCCCACCCCGAGGTCCTCTGCCTCGCGTACGCCGACGACATCACCTTCGTCGGCGATCCGGACGCCTGCACCTCGGCGTTCCTCAACTTCACAGCGGCCATGGACCGCATCGGTCTCTCCCACAACCCCGCGAAATGCGCGGCGTGGTCAGCCGAACGCCCTGCACCTGACCACCTTCCCCCAGGCATACCTTTCAACACAGAAGGCGTCCGCGTACTTGGCAGCTTTATAGGCACAGCCGAGGGCACAGCTGCATTCCTCCGCACCCAGCTGTCCCTGCTAGCCGAACCCCTCGCCACACTGGCCACAATGGACCCCCAGTCCTCATCCCTCCTCCTCACACGCTGCGTTTCTCGGCGTGTCTCATACTTAATCCGCACCACCCCCCTTGACTTCCTTCCCCTGGACGTCTGGTCCGACTGGGGTAAGGAGCTCTTCCATACCCTCCTGCGTGCCTGCAACCTCCAACCACCCCGAGGCGAGGTGGAGCGGGTGCGCACTTGGGCTCAAGCGTCCCTCCCTCCCTCTCTTGGAGGACTGGGTCTAACCGACCCCGCCATTGAGGGACACCCAGCCTACCTCACCAGCCTCACCCAAGCCCAGGGCCTCTTGGCTGCCCTACCAGCAGCGTCAGGAGGGCCCCTGGCCGACGCTGTCCGGCACCTCACGCCACCTTTCACCAGCCCCACCCACTTGCATACCTGGCTGGCGAAGTGTGAAACGGCGATGCCCCCACGAGCCCGGGAGCTCCTGCACTCCGAGAGGAGGGAACCCTCCGGCTCCCCACTCCAACACCGCTTATCCCTCGAAGTCCAGGCTGTGCGATACGCCGGCCAGGTGGCAGCCACGCGGACAATGGACCCAAACCCACTCTCTGGGCACACCCAACGCCTCTTTTCCCTGGCTGGATATGGAGCAGGGGACTGGCTTCATGCCATCCCCATCTTCCCATCCCTCCGCCTCGAAGCTCCACACTTCGCCATTGCCCTGGCCTTCCGCCTCGGCCTTCCATTCCCAGCCCCCCGCACTTGCAACTGCGCCGAGGAATTCGAAATCCTCGACACCAGGCTGCCCAACCACCTGCTCCGGTGTGGCACCGGGCACGGACGGACTGACACCCATAATGCCCTGCGGGACGAGAGCATACGGATGGCCCGAGATGCTGACTTTATAGTCACCAAGGAGACCACCATCTACAGCCCCGTAGACGGCCACAAGGCCGACCTCGCCCTCCGAGACCGCAGTTCCGGAGCTGTCTGGATCTGTGACGTCACCGTCACAGATCCCATCAGCAGCCGGGACCCGGACGCAAGAAAAGGACGCGGATACATGGCCCGGGAACAAGCTGACAAGAAAATCTCCCATTACCGAAATCGGGCTCCCTATGTCGGATTTTTCCCACTGGCAGTCGAGACATACGGCTGCCCCTGCGCCGAGGTCCCTACCTTCTTGAAGCTGCTGGCTGACACAGGGGCCAGGAGACTTTTCAATGCAGACCCCAGCTCCTACCAGGCAGCGAAACTGCTCCACCAGTTTCGCCAGCGCTGGTCAGTGACGCTGCAGCGGGCACAGGCCTTGGCTTACCTGGGAAAAGTTAATGAAGCCTCCCCGGCCCCCCACACCCCAGTGGGCACCCCTGACGCCGACATGGCACCTGGGGACTGCTTTGCCATAGCAGAGCCCCTAGGGGAGCTCGAGTAGATTCGAGCCCTTAAACATGCACGTACCTTGACTTGTTGCCCCTTGCCTGCCTAGCCTGTACCCAGTTTTCCAAGCAATAAACGGACCGCTTGAGAGAGAGAGAGAGAGAGAGAGAGAGAGAGAGAGAGAGAGAGAGAGAGAGAGAGAGAGAGAGAGAGAGAGAGAGAGCCCATGGTATATAAGGCTCCTCCACCCATCCTAGAGTTCATTATTTAGTTTTGAGCTGAGTTCTTCATCCGGTCCCTGCAGCGGCGCTCGCGCCGGCGGCCTTCGGCCGCCGTCGCTCGCGGCGCGGCCTCCGGCCGCGCAGGAGGGCAGAGAAGGGGCGGGGATAGGGATCCACTCAAAAAACCAGGGACATTACAGCATACAAGCATGCCTCCACAGGGGGTTACAACCTAGCAAATAGCCTATGGCTACGGCGCCACCCACAGCGCACGATGGCGGGGACCTGGCCTACACGCCAGACAACCGCCCACCTACTACACCTCCAAAGCCGACGGCGGGACAAGGGCCCCGGCCCGACTCTCCAAAGCCCGAAGCACCGCCGCGCAAGCGGCCAAGATCGCCGGGCGCTGATTCGCCACGAGCGACCGATTCAACTCATCAACGGCGCGAGGAGCGGGATCCAGCTCCCCCGCCTCTGCTCCTGGCGGCAACCCATATGCCAGCCGCCAGAGGAGTAGCGACGCGGCCTCCATCGCGCGTCGCTGCTGGCGGCGAGACATCGCGGGCCGCCATGATCGACCGGTCTCAGGTTTCCGTGGAGGCGCCTGCAGCGGCGGAGGGCGGAGACAATCCAACACCTCCGCCACCGCGCCAATACAGGCGACGACGCCGGCCATCGCCTCAACTGGCGAGAACGCGTGCGGCGACGCCAGACGGACAGGCGGACGAGGAAGCGGCGGCGGATCGCCGAGCACATCCACTGGTGTCGGCGACATACCCCGCCCCACCCGCAAACCCGACCCCTGAGGACGACCGGAGAGTGGCGGAGAGCGGTCCCTTCGTCTTCCGGGCACTACGGTCGGAGGTGACCCTGCCCGAGAGCCCGTCACCCCGCCCCCGCGGTGACGCTTCATCGGACGAAACGGCGGGGGCGGAGACCCCGCGGACACGCCCTGACCCGATACGACGCCGTGTCCGACAGAGGCTGGTGGTCCCGCTGGCGACTTTGGAGGAGGCAGAGGAGGCGGTTGGAGGTCCCCGCGGGGAGAGGAGTCGGGACCACCAGCGAACCCCCTCGAAGGAGGGGGAGCCAGAGGGGCCGGAGGGACCGGAAGGGGCGACGGTAGGCGGGGCGACGGCGGAAGCCGAGACGGAGAAGGAAACGACGACGGCGGAGCCGGTGACGGGGCAGCCGGACGACGCGGGGAGCGATCCATGGGACTTCCCCCGAAACCCTCTCGCCCAATCGCGGGCGCGGGCGCAGGCGACGGCGGGGAACACGCTACCCGGTCGCCAACAGCGGACCGAGGCAGCCGCAGGAGCTGCTCGAGGGCGCTCGCGATCGCTGCCACTTGGACCTGCTGCTGCCGAAACTCCAAGCGCAGCTGCGACGTTGGCGACAGAGCCAGCGGGACGCCGGACAGAGAACCCACCGGCGACGGGGACGCATCCGCCTCACGTAGAGGCAGACGCGAGGGGGAGAAGAGCAGCCCCTGCGTCATCTCTAATGCAGCCGGACAGAAGCAGAGCCCCGCACACGCGAGCCACGGCCCGCGCAAGTACAACCGCGGCCCCGGGGGGGGAGCGGGCGAGAAGCACAACCTGCGGGCACAGAGGAACGCGGGGCGGACGAGGGCCCGGGCGAGCACCGACAAAAGCTGCAACCTTCCGCGGCGTCGCCGCGCGTCTACAACGCGAAGACCGGCGACGGGGAGCACACCCAGCCGCCGCAGCAAGCAACGCCACTAGAGCGACAGAGTCCGAAGCGGGGGGAGACGGCGGGACGGACCGAGGGATGGAAAATTGGCCAAGTGCTGACGCTCTAGCGGCAGACACACCAGGAGGAGGAGCTACGAGGGGAGCAGCAGAAGGGAACACGGAGGGAGCTGATGAGGAGGACGCTGAAATTCAAAACGCAAACGACCCCACTTATACCCCCCCAATCGGGGTAAACTGGGAAGGCGCCCCAGACGAGGGAGACCTATTGGATTCCCCCGCCTGAGACGCAAATGTGCGGCCCGGCCAACCCTACCGACGAGCCGCCACATCCAACACCCGCCGCGGCTCGACAGTCGTCCGCAGACCAACCCCTGCAGCGCGGGTACAATCCCCTCTGGCGTTGGCGAAGAACGACGAACTCTTCGCCAAAGTTTGCGAGTGGGACATGACCGTGCTCCGCGACTCCAGGCTCCCACCCCTGGCACGTCGCCTACCGCGCGAAATCCTGGCGGAGTTCGCGTCCTGCCTGCTGACACCGCTACTACACCTCGCGCATAACAAGGACAGCAAAGGAGGTTGGCGCCTGTTACTCCTCCTCCCTCGCCTGACACTCGCAACCACATCGACGAGGAAGCCAGACTGGGACGGAATGTTACGACGCTGTCGCAAATTCGCCACCGGCGCCTGGGATTCACTGTACGACGAGGCCGTGACCTCGATTTCACTACCACGACCCCCACGCCACGCGAATGACACCGCCGGGCACCTAGCCCGAGCGGAAACACTCACTAAGCGCGGAAACCTGCGGAAGGCCCTCCAAGCCCTGGAATCCACCCCGGTGTGCGAACCCACCCTGGAGACACTTAACGCCCTCCGAGACAAACACCCCGCCGCCGAACACGCCCTTCCCAACTGGGCGACATTCCCAAGCACACCACCCACCAACACCATTACAGCACCGCAGCAGCCGCTACTCACCATCACCCCACGAGAGCTCAGAACCGTACTTCGACGGAGCCCGAATGGGGTCGGGGCGGGGCCAAGCGGCATGTGCTTCGAACATCTGCGGGACGCAGCCGCCTCGAACGCTGACGTCCTGAACCTCCTCACAGAAGTGACCAACGCGGCACTCGCAGGGCAAGTGCCGCTAGAGGCGGCGGACCTCCTCACCGCCTCGAGATTGCTGGCATTCACCAAACCCGACGGCGGAACCAGGCCCATCGCCATCGGCGAATGCCTACTACGCCTCTTCGGCAAAGCCAGCCTGCACCTCACGACGACCCTGGCCCAAGCCCACTTCGCGCCCCTGCAGTTCGGAGTGGCGATGAAGGGAGGGGGCGAGACGGCGGTGCATGCAACAAGAACCCACCTCGAACAGCACCTCGAACACCTCCTCCTCCAGGTGGACTTCTCCAACGCGTTCAACTCAGTCGAACGCATCGCCTTCTTCCGCGCCCTACGCGACAGCCCTCTCAAAGGGCTGCTGCCCCTAACCCGCCTCTCCTATGGACGGCCATCGAGCCTGCTGCTCGACCACGCGTTCGGAGGGGACCCGCTCATCAGCGAGCGGGGCGTACGGCAAGGCGACCCGCTAGGCCCCATGCTGTTCGCCCTCGCCCTCCACCAGGCGCTGACCACGACAGCAGAGGAATACCCTGACGTCCTCATACTGGCATACGCCGACGACGTGACCATCATCGGCCCGCCGCCGGCATGCGCAGCCGCCTTCTATGCCCTCACAGGTCGGGCAGCAGCGGTAGGACTCACCTGCAACGCCAGCAAGTGCGCGGCTTGGTCGCCCGCACCGGTGGACCCCGCGCTCATCCCGGCCGGAGTACCGCTCACCCACGACGCAATCAAGGTCCTGGGCAGCCCCATCGGCACCACCCACGGATGCGGGGACATCATCCGCCGCACGCTCGAAAAAGCGGCAGCGGCGCTCCCCCTGGTAGAGCAGCTGCACCCGCAAGTCGCGCTGCTGCTCCTCACCCGCTGCATCACGAGGAGGGCATCCTACCTCCTCCGCACCACCCCCACCAACCTCCTCCCCCCCGAGGAATGGACGCAGTGGGGGAAGTCCCTGCTGGAAGCAGCGCTCAAGTCGTGCGAGCTCCAGCAGCCACGGGACACTGAAGGCCGAGACCTCCTCTGGCGACAAGCGACCCTGCCGATCACCATAGGAGGCCTCGGCCTCATTGACCCCACCACGGAAGGCAGCTACAGCTACCTGGCCTCCGCACTACAGGCCGGTGACCTCCTCCGCTCCATGGAACCCCCTGACTCCTCACCCCTCGCCGACCTCCTCCACCTCCTCACTCCGCCCTTCACCGCCCAAACGCCCCTACACCACCTGCTCAACTGCCTGGAAGCGGCACTCCCCGAACCAGCGCAGTCAACACTCACCCGCCCGCGCGACGAACCTGGCGCCAAGCTCCAGCACGCCCTAGCACTGGAGGTACATGGGGCCAGGCACGCACGGCTAGTGGCAGACTCCAGACACATGCCACTCAACCCCCTCCTGGGTCACACCCAGCGCCTCCTCTCCCTGCTCGGGCCAGGGGCAGGGGATTGGCTAGTCGCCATCCCCTTCTCCCCTGACCTATGCATGAGCAAGGGACAATTTGCCACGGCCCTAGCTTTCCGCATGGGCCTGCAGCACTCCCTACCCGGCAAATGCAACTGCCGTGACAAGCATGAGATACCAGATAACCGGCTGCCCAACCACATGCTACGATGCACCCTGGGCGGGGGCCCAAAGCGGACCCACGACGCGCTCGTGAACCTCGGGATGCGACTGGCCCGAGAATCCCACTTCGTGGCCCACATGGAATCCACGCTCTACCTACCCGAAACTGCCCAACGCCGCGCCGACATCACCCTCCGATGCCCGGACTCAGGCGCGGTATGGGTCTGTGACGTCACAGTCACCGACCCCATCTCAACCCGCGACCCAACAGCACGGAAAGGGACGGGGTGGATGGCGGCAGAGATGCAGGGCAAGAAGCGGGACCTGTACGACGAACGACTCACCTTTGTGAAGGTGCTGGGAGTTGCCACTGAGACATACGGCTGCTGCTCCCCCGACACGCTCGAGTTCCTCCGAGTACTGGCCGCCCTCTCAGCTCGCCGGAACCACCAAGCCGACCCAAAGTCGGCGGTGGCAAAGAAGGTGTTGCACAGCTACCGCCAGAGGTGGTCAGCCACCCTCCAGCGGCAGCAGGCAATCACCCTCCACGCGAAGATTGGCCAGGTGACTGGCCAAGCTTTCAGCCACGACCACCCCCTAGACGAACCTCTTACCTAGGGAGAACTGGAAGCCACCATTGAACCTACCTGTGACAGGTGGCCCGGGCAGCAGTAGGATGCTCGGGGACACCAGGACATACGTAACCCTGTTTTTTGTACCTCTGTACCCCTTATAAACATAATAAAAGGACCGCTTGAGAGAGAGAGAGAGAGAGAGAGAGAGAGAGAGAGAGAGAGAGAGAGAGAGAGAGAGAGAGAGAGAGAGAGAGAGAGAGAGAGAGATAGATAGATAGATAGATAGATAGATAGATAGATAGATAGATAGATAGATAGATAGATAGATAGATAGATAGATAGATAGATAGATAGATAGATAGATAGATAGATAGATCGATACCACACGCCGACCCACCAGCCTCCTCCCCCCATCCAGCAAGCACACACGGATGCACGTTGCACACAGGGATGCACGTTGCACACACGGATGCACGTTGCACACACGGATGCACATTGCACACAGGACACACAGCACAAACCAATGCACCCAGCACGCATGCACGCACCTCAATCCTCACCTCACCCTCTCCACACACTCAAACAAGCATGCACACATTCTATGTATGTGAGAGTGGCTGTATGGATGGATGGATGGATGGATGGATGGATGGATGGATGGATGGATTTATGGGCCCATGCCACGGAGTGAGCACCGTGTTAACGTTGACTGCACGAGCACTTGGTTGGTGCGACGGATTCCAGTACCGGACGGACAGCAGGAGACAGTGTTAAACCTGACTCTCTCTGCATTCCGCGCTAAAGCTCACAGTACGGCGAGGGCAGTAGGTAGGAGACATTGTTAAAGCTCACAGTATGGAGAGGGCGCTAGGAGACAGTGTAAGGTCTCACAGTATAGAGAGGGCGGTAGGAGACAGTGTAAGGTCTCACAGTATAGAGAGGGCGGTAGGAGACAGTGTAAGGGCTGACAGTATAGAGAGGGTGGTAGGAGACAGTGTAAGGGCTGACAGTATAGAGAGGGTGGTAGGAGACAGTGTAAGGGCTGACAGTATAGAGAGGGTGGTAGGAGACAGTGTAAGGGCTGACAGTATAGAGAGGGTGGTAGGAGACAGTGTAAGGGCTGACAGTATAGAGAGGGTGGTAGGAGACAGTGTAAGGGCTGACAGTATAGAGAGGGTGGTAGGAGACAGTGTAAGGGCTGACTCTGAGTGCACTTCTCCTCGCTATGGCTCACAGTATGGAAAGCGCAGTGAACGCGCCAATGGCGGCAGGAATGGGTGTTTCGATGGGTGTAGGCGCAATGCTCCCATCCCACACCCTGCAGAACGCAGGAGAGAGGAAGGGGGCGTAAAGATGAGAAAGACGCGTGGGGAGGGTATGAGGCAAAACATCCCAGCAATGCATAAAAGGAGGATAGAAATAGGCTGCACCGTCACAGCGCAGTGACCATGCCTCGCACACTCACAGCGCTGTCACCATGCCTCGCACTCACAGCGCTGTCACCATGCCTCGCACTCACACCTTTGAGTCGACTCATGAGCAGAGTATTCAGTACGGAACCATGCAGCGCACTCACAGCGCAGTCACCATGCCCTGCAGGTTGCACTTGACGCCGGCCCACTGCTGGCACGCCGTCGACCTTCCGCCGTTACCCGGCCACAGGCGCCACGCGGCATTCAGAGCCAACAGGGCGGTCACTGCACGGGAAGAGGGTCAATGGCCAGACGGAGAACTGGAAGGTTTCGAGTTCAATCATGAGAGCGCGACGGCTTTTCTCAAACACTTCATCGAAGGGCTTCTGAGCATCTGTAGCGAAGGGTAGCGGCGTCTGAGCGTCTGTAGCGAAGGGTAGCGGCGTCTGAGCGTCTGTGGCGAAGGGCGAATCAAGAGGGACGCAGATGGTCCTAGATCAGGCGATTGGGATACTCCTAGACCGAGGTCAGCACTCACGCTGCGATGGGTCGAGCGTAACCGGCGTTCGTCGAGGCGGCGCTCCTGACACAGCAAGCGTCGCTGGTCGCTCGAGCAGATCGTGCCTCACGCCATGGCTACGGGTAGTCGACGTCAAGCCCTCGCTGCTATGAGGTGTCGCGGAGATGCTATCTCTATTAGTCGCGAGCTTCCCGATGCTGTCAGAGGCCCAGCCTTGGCGCGAATGTTGGAAGTAAGTGTCACGGTTGAACGCGCTGGCGAAGGGTGGATATTCTAGTGTACTAATAGCGAGGAGGACAATGACGAAATGAGGGACGGTGGGTAGTGCACACTTCTTCTTCCGCTTGTCGGCCATAGCGAATCGTTGTATCTGAACTACTAAGCTCGACGAGCCTGACGACAATCGTGTTAAAAACGCGAAACGGGCTACTACGCAAACATAAATCCGAGAATTCAGAGGCTAACCGTCATACATTCTTTTTACTGTAATACCACTGGCGGCTCGACTGTCAAGCTCAGATTGGTTACGTGCTGTGGTCGGTCCTGGTAAAGACATTCTCCGCTACTGACAGAACGAGGACGAAACACGAAGCCATGACAGTTTTCGTGTGGAGCGGGCAAACGCCAGTGGGAGAAGCAGAGGAGACAGAACTGGGTGCCGCTGCCAAGCCAAGCAACTTGGTCCCTCATTCGCTCACTCAACCCCCCACCATCAAAGCTGGACATTTGGCGTGGCGAGCAGCCTCCAGCCGTTTGCGAAAGATTGTTGACGAAGAGAAATTTGTGCTTTCATCCTTGATTATTCAGTCACGGTAATCACACATGCCTGAGCGATAATCTTTCCCCACCACCTGCTCTTCGCACAGTGGTCAAGGTGGCACGGTGCAAAGCGGTGGGAGGTGGGGGAAACCAAGTTCGCCGTTCCCAAGATCCAGTCAAGTCGAGATGTGAGAAGTGGGTACAGAACCAACGGACGGCACTACAGTGGTGGATAGAGGATCTGTACAGTATGCCGCCACTGTGGAGCACCGACACAACTCACACATTGGATTATCGAGATAAACGATTTTACATATTCGGTTAAATTGTAGGAAAACACCAGTATACCATATAGGCTAAGTATGGTTAGTTCTACAAGTTCAAAGTGGCTGCTATGTGTTGGAGGTCTCTAACTCGACTGATGATCCGCAGACGCTCCTCCAGCCTCAGTTTCAACGCCACTTTATCGGCATCTAAATCACCCCACGACCCCCCATCTTGCTCAACATTGGCGGCACTGCCCTCTGCTTCGACTTGTTGCGGGTCAAGTGACAAGTTCAACGATTCAGCGACAACCTGAGCAGCAGCTGCAGCATCCGCTTCAACGATTTCCAGAAGCTCCTCGAGCTCGCGAATAAAGTCGATCCGAAGGAGAGTGCTCTCACCACCACCCATGCTTGAGCCCAAGTCAGCCTTAGCGTCCATTTCATTCTGAACAGGGACAAAGGAAACGAGGCAAGTGCAATGCAAATGAGCAGTGGTAAGGAAGAAAAGGCAAAAGAGTATAAATCGTGAGGAGGGAAAGCGATGGCAGGGAGAGGTATCTTTTGAAACAAACAATCAATGTGAAGGTCTTTCACGTAGCTCACAGAGCCATAATGCCACCCACGTACCCAAGTTGGAGCACCCATGCCATTGGCCACGGGCATGGCCACGGTGAAAGGATCCTCCGGCAGAAACACCGCTCTCATCGCATCGCGCGCCTCGCGCTGCCATTGGTCGTAGCCTGATGTGCTGATGTCAGCGCTGAGGTCATCAGCAAGGTGCAGGAGAGTGTTAAGGAGTCGCAAGGCTGGCGTGGCTTCTTGTGCCTCTCTCTCTGCCTGGGGGAGGAAGAGGAAGAGGTGCAATACGGAGACAATGCAGTGCCTGTGCTTCGAGCGGTCTTGAATGTGGCTTTCTGTGCCCCTCTCTCTCACTAAGGGTGGGCGAGGTGAGGTGGAGTATCAGGGCAGGGGATGGCATGGCATGGGTGACAAGCAGGGTAGGAGACATGGCATCGAATGGCATGGCATAGGTAAGAGATCTGGAGAGCAGTGGAGCTGGAGAGCAGGGGAGCAAAGGTCTGGGGAGCAGGGGAGCAAAGGTCTGAGGAGCAGGGGAGCAAAGGTCTGAGGAGCAGGGGAGCAAAGGTCTGAGGAGCAGGGGAGCAAAGGTCTGAGGAGCAGGGGAGCAAAGGTCTGAGGAGCAGGGGAGCAAAGGTCTGAGGAGCAGGGGAGCAAAGGTCTGAGGAGCAGGGGAGCAAAGGTCTGAGGAGCAGGGGAGCAAAGGTCTGAGGAGCAGGGGAGCAAAGGTCTGAGGAGCAGGGGAGCAAAGGTCTGAGGAGCAGGGGAGCAAAGGTCTGAGGAGCAGGGGAGCAAAGGTCTGAGGAGCAGGGGAGCAAAGGTCTGAGGAGCAGGGGAGCAAAGGTCTGAGGAGCAGGGGAGCAAAGGTCTGAGGAGCAGGGGAGCAAAGGTCTGAGGAGCAGGGGAGCAAAGGTCTGAGGAGCAGGGGAGCAAAGGTCTGAGGAGCAGGGGAGCAAAGGTCTGAGGAGCAGGGGAGCAAAGGTCTGAGGAGCAGGGGAGCAAAGGTCTGAGGAGCAGGGGAGCAAAGGTCTGAGGAGCAGGGGAGCAAAGGTCTGAGGAGCAGGGGAGCAAAGGTCTGAGGAGCAGGGGAGCAAAGGTCTGAGGAGCAGGGGAGCAAAGGTCTGAGGAGCAGGGGAGCAAAGGTCTGAGGAGCAGGGGAGCAAAGGTCTGAGGAGCAGGGGAGCAAAGGTCTGAGGAGCAGGGGAGCAAAGGTCTGAGGAGCAGGGGAGCAAAGGTCTGAGGAGCAGGGGAGCAAAGGTCTGAGGAGCAGGGGAGCAAAGGTCTGAGGAGCAGGGGAGCAAAGGTCTGAGGAGCAGGGGAGCAAAGGTCTGAGGAGCAGGGGAGCAAAGGTCTGAGGAGCAGGGGAGCAAAGGTCTGAGGAGCAGGGGAGCAAAGGTCTGAGGAGCAGGGGAGCAAAGGTCTGAGGAGCAGGGGAGCAAAGGTCTGAGGAGCAGGGGAGCAAAGGTCTGAGGAGCAGGGGGGCAGGGGGAGAGGCTGACCTCGATGCGGCGCAGCAAGAGGTCGAGGCATTGCACCACGTGGCGCTCGTTCTGCTCGCATCAGCAGCACAGGACGCAACACAGACGGAACGAGGAGAGGTGACGAAAGCAAAGGTGAAGAATCCACAATGAGGTGACGACAGGCGGAAGCGCGAGGGTTAGCTCAACACAAATGGCAGGCACGTGCTGTTGAATGGCACTTGCTGTTGAATGATGCTATTATTTTCTCCGACTCGTTGCCGCCAGCACACATCCATCCACGTCCCCCCCACGGCACCACTCACGTCGTGCCGGGCGAAGTTGAGTCGGTTCTGAATGACGAGGATGAGGGTGTCGGTCAAAAAGCCCTCCCTGCCCATGCGCACGATCTCCTGCACGCACGAACCCAGGGTCCCCGACAAGAGGGGGGAAACGGCTGGTGCGGTTGACTGGAATTGTCCTTACCAGCTTCAAGATGTTGGGTAAACCTTTCTGTAATACTGAACGAGATATTGAAGACTGTGCCACGTCATCCCTCACCTGTTCCACGTCATCCCCTGCTCTAATCAGATCGGCCACCCGCTGCCTCGCCAGCCTAATCTCCTCCGGATCCATCTCCTGCGCTCTTTCTCCGAAGCTTCGCTCCATGCGCCTATATTCAGCTGCATCTGGTGTCTCCCTCTCGGCCTCTCCACTTCCGCTTCCGCCTCTTTCCCCAAATTCCGCATCATTTTCGCCAAGTGTCGCAGGCTCGAGCGGCTCTTGAGCAGCCTTCCATCCTGACCGTTGATCCGTCTTTTCCTGTTGTCTCACAGCCGTTCGATCATCAGCCTTCACCTCTCGCACGGCTTCAGGCTCCTTCGGCAGCCACTTTCGCCGGCCAGCGCTTCCCTCCTTGCCCGGATTCCCTGCTCCTCGCCGTTCCTCTTTCCCCGAACCGGTATCATCCGAACCTCCGGCTCTGCTTCGGCGCCTGCTTCGCCGTCCCGAGCCAACAGCTGGCAGCCCTCCTTCCGCCCCAACCCCCTCCCGGGCCTCGGTTATTACTCCACTCGTCTCCCCTCCTCTCGTCATGCCACCGCTCCCGCTTTCCTGCTCGCCAGCCGCTTTAACTACACATGGTCTTGGTCGCCGCGATTCGCGCATCGCTTGTTTGCGTACCGTTCCCCTTTGCCGCTGGTTCGCGTGGGCTAGTTGCGGTTCGCTTCGCAGGGAACAGGAGGAACGAGCAGTGGCCATCGCGGTCACGGGTGCGCGAGCAGTGCGAGCAGGCACGGAGACAAACGATCGGCGAGCAGGAGATCTGAGGGTGCGACGGGAGACGGTGCTGACGACACCCCTCGCGCTGCTGACGACACTCATGGCGCTGCTGACGGCGGATGCGACGTTAGGAAGCTGGTGCTGCCGTAGCACCGCGACGCCAGGCTGAAGCATGGGCAACCCTTCGATTGAGGGATGGTGTGAGAAATTCTGACAGGAAATCCCACAGGACTGGTGGAAGAATTGGGGTGGGGTATCAGATGGAGTGGGGGGTTCCACGATATGAAGGGTTGGAGGGCTTTTGGTACGCGTTACTGAGGTCAGCTGGACTCGTTTCTCCGTCCAAAAATTTCGACCTACACCTTGAGCAGATTTTGATTATTGACTGTACCCATGAAAATTCCCTTTTCCTCTCCCCCCTCATCAGCTCCTCCTGAGGACTCACTGACCTAGACTATCTCGACCGTCCATCTTCCATCATCACCCGCGCACGCTGTGTGCACCTGCCAGGTGCCTGTGCGAGCACTGCAGCAATGGCGATTCTCGCCGTCCTTCCCGCGACAACTCTTCTATCGCACGCCTTGCCGCCTGCATCACGTGCGATGTCTCTCGCTCCTCCTCTCAAGTCGCTGCTCTCGTCAGCCGCATCGTTACCAGCTCCGCCTTCGCTCCATCTAGACCTACCGGCTCACCTTGAAGCCGTTAGTCCAGGCGTGGCGGACTCCCTGTCCCTGCACGGACACGTAGCCTCTCTCCAGCCAGACAACTTCGCTGTGGACATATCACGCTTGGCGGATATAGGGGCGACGCTGCTGTGGCTGCAGCCGTTTACGGAGAGCGAGATCGCGGGGCTCGTCTTCGGTGCCGCCATCATCGCGTGTGCGGCTAGCGCGCCACGCGTCGACCAGTGGATTGCCCGCGCTCAACGGCGGTGAGAATGCTTGGGGTTGAGATTTTAATTTTCAGACGAAAGGCAAAAGACTTGACATGTGAGTGAAGGCGAAAGGCGTGAGGTGATTGTCTACGTTTTACCGAATGGTGCAACCTCCTAAGCTCACCCTGTGGCTGCACAATGCATACACATTACCCTTTACTGGTAGTTTTTCTTTTTAAGCTTTCATGTTTGGGCTTTTCTGCATGGGTTTCTCCCTCGGGACAGCATACCTACGTCAACTCTTGTGTGCTTCAACATTTCAGGAATCTTTGCATCTGCGAGGAATGTGGGGGAGTTGGCTTTTTGCCGTGCACCAAGTGCAACAAGCAAGCAAGCATGTTTCAGCTGCCAGCTTTAGGA